TTAAATGAGCTAATCAGTGATTTGTGGAAAAATTAGGTCTTGGCCTCTCCTGAGACCAAAATGGACTAGAAACTGTAATACCAGAGACCTGAATTTATATTGATACTGATGCAGGAGTCTAAAATGTTAACCAATTTCAGACTTAATCTGCAATATTCATCAAAGCAATAATTTAATTAATGGAAGAGTGCCTGATGAGTCTTTTTTTTTTTTTTTTTTTTTTGCATGCAGTAGACAAAAGCTGTTGCCTTTTGCGCTTTGAACACTGCTTCAGCCATCATGGGTTTGGCCATTTGCATACATTTTGTATGTACAGGAAGTTTATTACAAGGCTGCTGGACTTAAGAGATTTGGCTCATGCATTATTCATAACACAGGCTTTTAAGACATTCACGCCGCTAAAGAATAAAACTCAACATGAAGGTCCTCAAGCAGGAGGAAAGACAACAGACTGAACACGAGTAGAAAATAAAACTGGTCGAGAACAAAATGCCAGCGAACATCAAAGGTAATTTACATACATTGTATTTATTTTAATCGGAAGCTTTGCATGAATTTGTAAAACAATTTCAACTCAAATTAGGTGACTTAATGAACATTAAAGCACCCTAACAAAGCAAACAATTTAACTCTAAAAGCTGAATGCTACCTTTTTAAACAAGTGGCTCTTTGGGGGCTTGCACAAAGTGCAAGGACGGCAACAATAATATTTAATGATTTTGATCTTTTGGGGGGTGGGGGGAGGGCAGCACGGTGGCACAACTGGTAGAGCTGCTGCCTCTCAGGAAGCAGGTCCCTGGTTCAAATCCCGGTCCGGGGGTCTGGGTGGAGTTTGCATGTTCTCTCCGTGCATGAGTGGATTTTTTCTGGGTACTCCAGTTTCCTCCCACAGACCAAAAACATGCATGTTAGGCTGACTGGTAACTCTAAATTGTCCCTAGTTGTGAGTGAGAGAGTGAATGGTTGTTTGTCTCATTTGTCTCTGTGATTGACTGGAGACCTGTCCATGGAGTCCGCCGCCTCTCGCACAGTGATTGCTGGACATGGGCACCAGTGACCCCGTGACCCAAAAAGGAAGACTTGGGTAAAAGATAATGGATGGCTGGATGAATCAAACTATTTATAAATTAAGATGGTTTGACACTAGACTCATTCAATGTATGTTGAAAACTGACACATTTATATTTTTATTTTAATAGTACCAAAAGTTCATGCTCAATAATCCAGGTATAAAATCCAACAATGTTCAGTCATGTCGTCTGGACAGCTTATTCATTTGAGCCGAGACGTTTCGCTCTTCATCCGAAGGGCTTAGTCAGTCTGAGGAAACACCAAAACTGATTCTCCACCAACCGCATACTCCAAAGTGGGGGGAAAAAACATGTTATGTTGGTGCTAAGGAGGCCATCTTAGCATCAACATAACTGTTTTTGTTTTTTTTGTTTTTTCCCCCACTTTGGAGTATGCTGTTGGTGGAGAATCAGTTTTGGTGTTTCCTCAGACTGAAGCCCTTTAAATGGAGTGCGAAACGTCTCTGCACAAAAAAGAAACCGTCCATATTTTAATAGCTTTATGTTCTGTCGGTAGTGAAATGGCAGACGTATACTTGGCCCATTGTTTTCCTCCTCTCTGCTGGAAGTTTACACCACAACACTTATCATTTTGATTATCTGTCTACTGAGAAACATGATCTATCCTGAGGCAACTCGATCAACATATGCTTGCCAATAACAGGTGCTGAGGCAATAAAAAGAGGTCTTTAAACTTAAATGACCCTTGACTGCAAACTCTTAAAAATTCCAAGTCTCAGCAGGTGAAGAACCCACTTTATTTATGCAAAGGATAGTATGACACTCTGAAATGGAGTATGTAGAATAGATGTATTTTTTTGGGTGCAACTATTTAAAGAATCAAGTTTTATTTCAGAGTCAGAAAGTCAGATTCTTTCATTCGCACCTCATGTGGTACATGTGGTGGAGCGAAATTATGTACACGGGGCCCCAGTTACATCCAACAATAAAATGCAGAAGAAAAACAATGACGTCTAAGATATGAACTAAGAAAATGTAAACTAAAATACACTAGGCACTAATAGTATAAAAACATTGTCAAACAGCAGCATGAGCATGAGTCTGTGTGAGCAGATGAGCATGAACACATCAACATGAAAAAGATCAGCAACATTGAAACACATCAGCAGCAACATGAATTATGTTTTTTTTATTTATTTTATTATTATTTTTTATTATTTTTCTCGGTGATTATTCTGGTTAAAGATTCATGAGTCCAACAGCCTCAGGGTAGAAGCTGTTCCTCAGTCTAGTGGTTCTACACTTAATGCTCCTCAACCTCCTTCCTGAGGGGAGCGGGGTAAAAAAGTGTGTGCTGGGTGAGTGGAGTCCTTCATGATGCAGGTGACCCTCTTCCTGCATCTTGAGGTGTAGATGTCTGTGATGGTGGGGAGACTGACTCCAACAGACTTCTGTGCAGCCTTCACCACTCTCTGCAAAGCTTTTCTTTCTGCAGCTGTGCAGCCTCCATGCCACATGTTGATGTTGGAGCGCAAGATGCTCTCCACTGCACACCTGTTGAAGGAGGTGAGGACTGAGCTTCCCAGACCAGCTCGTCTCAGCCATACTTATTTGTACCAGGTTGAAAGTCACTTACTTTTTTTTTTTTTTTTGGTCCCACTAGGACTAAAGTGAATTGCAGCAATTTTAAAATGGTTCATCTCATTCAATTGGTTATGCAAACGGTGTGAAATCATTAAAATGCCCTCATTTGTAAAGTTGTAATATTCTGAGCATTTGAAAGCATAAATAGCAGCAGGAAAAGCGGCTAACTGTAGCACTTCCGATGTAGCCAAAGGCACTTTCGGAAGGTTTCTGCTGGCGCAATGGAACGCTAAATCAATGGTAATATAAAGACCAACAATGTTCAATCAGGTCATCTGGATTTTATACCTGGATTATTGAGCATGAACCTTAATGTAATTTAAAGTGTAAAATATTTGCATAAATCAGATCTTTCAGTGATGTTTTTTGTTTTATCATTCCCATACAATGGTGAAATTGGCTCTCTGCATTTAACCCATCCACCCCCAGGTGGAGCAGTGGGCATCTATTGAAGGTGCCCGGGGAGCAATTGGGGATAGGGTGTCCCGCTCAGACGCCACAAGATGTGCAATGATTGAGGATCAAGCCTGGGACTTTCGGGTCCCAAGTCGGCTGCCATGCCTCTTCGCCATCTTGGGCTCTCAAGGCTGAAATGGCAGCAATCCCTTTGACAGCTAGTCCAAGAGGAGTCTAACCCCATCTGGCGAGACAAACTTTCTCTAAACTGGGAATAAGTCATCTGCACCAATTACCTCACTTCAACAAGTCTCATCATTTTATGAAGCTCACGCTGAACCCTAGACATTTGCTACTCAAGTATATGAACAAGTATTTGGCGTGGTGGCTCACTTGCTATTCTTTTTGGCACTTGCTTTTAGCTAAAACGGGTTGGCTGCTGTAAGAAATCCTGGTGCAGTAACTTTTAAACCTAATTTAGGTTGATGACGGAATAAAAGTAAAATGGGTGTTTAATGCATTCTTGTGCAGGATTCTATTTATATTTTCCTTCCAAGAACACCTACTCCGTGGAGATTTTTCAGAGTATACTGATTTTGGATAACTATCGGTAGTGTGTTCACTGTTGTGGAACCAAAGATATCTAAATGGTCTGTCCAAAGCAGCCAGAGGTTTTGAAGGACCAGAAAACACTAAGACATTGTCTAAATAAGTCGGGTCCTCTGGACGTTAAAAAACAAAACAAAAATGTAGAAATTTTTCATCTTTCATCCAAACGACTTCAGTCCGAGGTGCTGTATTCAGCTCTGTCTTATGAATGGCACCTTCTCATGGTGGATGAGAAGGTGCCAGTGAATGTTGTCCACTCCATATTAAACAATTGGCATTCACTGTACGCTTTTCTTTTCTTTGATAAGACCGTTTATACAGACGAATTTGTAGGGCAAAGTGGAAAATAAAAGCAAAGAAGAAATGACTACTTCTCCACTGTTACGTTGCCTCTAAACACACCAGTGTCTGTAGTGTCTCTCTACTGGAGAAATGTGGGAACTACACCAGTTTTTTTTCCCTATTAAATGCAATTTAAAAAAATATATAATTTAGACCACTGACTATTTTAACCTATTTTTGGGGGTGCTTAAGCACCCTTAAAATTTACCAAAAAAAGTTTTAATTGTCCAAATTTTGGACAATTTGGATGGGCCAATTAAAAAAGCCCACATGCCTGGTCTATATAGGTTTGGTTTATTCTTAACTGAGCCAGTTTCCAATACCATTTATTAAAAACAATAAATATTTAAATAAAAAAGAAATTACCACAATCTATAAAATGCTTTATCAAAGGCTTCTGCCTTTTGAGGAAAATTTTTGTATGCAGCGTTTATACACTTTTCATTGTAGGTTTTCAAGATGGTAACTGGACTTGGATTGTTGCTGCATACCTGTCAGAATATTGGTGTCAGTTTACATTAGGAAGGTGAAAATTAGTCTTTCACTGCCAACCTGCAAGGTCTGAAGAACAGCTTGTTAAAATATTCAGCATTTTAAGCCTCAAAGCTGCCATCTGCCAAATAATTATAACGGACTAAATTCTATTGCAGTTTCCTCTCCTAACCTTCCCCCTATCTTGGGAGGGGAAGGGAGGTATTGTTGGTTGTCAGTGATTGCCCTTTGTTGCCCATTTTTGAAACGATTAATTCCCTTTTGAGTGACACGGGGACAAATATACTGCCTTTTTTTAAAATGATTCAGTGATTTAGGCAACATAATCTTTGTGGTTTCAAAAAGATGAACTACTCAACCTTCTTGCAGTCTTCCATTCATCACTCTTCACATTACCTCAGGTGCACTCATTGCTCTTATCTGTCCTTTTTTTCCTCTCGCTCTCTCCTCTGCTTCACGCTTACTCAGTTTGCACTTTATTTACAGGTGTCCTTGAGAAGACTGTGGAGGGGGAGGCTGCTGCTCTCACCAAGGCCAAGACCCTTTACAAGTCCTGTACCAATGAGAGTGAGTCCCCTGGGTGAAGATGTTAATGCAGACTTTTAATTTTTTTTTTTAATCTGTTTTGCAATATTGGGATGTTTCATTGCTGCCCTGGAAGGTGATGTCAGTTTGTTGTACTGAAGTTGTAAAAGATGGGAATTATTCTTTCAGTTTGCAGCCTTTCTTTAAGACTTTCAGAGGAAATAGATTTCAGGGGAAAAAGGAAAACCTCTAATTTCTGGTAACTATTTACAATAAGGCTCCCCTTATAGATGGCTAATACATGGTTTCATAAATTCCTCTATAAACATTTTGTAAATTAATTTATTGTGCATTTAGGGTGACAGACAAAACTGACCAGTTTCTTTCTAGTGAGCCAAATCTGTTCATCTATATATTTAATTTCATCTAGTCATTATATTAAACATTTCAGACTAAGTTACTACTTTGCAAGCACAATCATTTGTAAACCCATTTCTTTAGCATAAAATTGTACTTTGCCACTACATTATAAGTATCTAAAACTAATATTGTATACTAAAAAAATAGGTTTACAAATGCTTCTAAAAAAGTTAAATCTGGTCCTCTGGACATTCAAAAAAAAAAAAGCAAAACAACAAAAAAAATGTAGAAACGTTTAATCTCTCATCCGAAAGACTTCCTCAGTCTGAGGTGCTGTATACAGCTCAGTCTCTTAAGTTGCACCGTCTCAGAGTGGATCAACCAGTTTTGCTGCTGACAACCAAAACCAGCTGCTCACATGATCAAGAAGGACCATCGGCCTAATAAGGCCTTTAATTTAGACCATTGAGACAATCAGCCCATCTTGTTAGGCCGATGGTCCTTCTTGATCATGTGAGCAGCTAGTTTTGGTTGTCTGCAGCAAAACTGGTTGATCCACTCTGAGAAGATGCAACTTAAAAGACTGAGCTGAATACAGCACCTCAGACTGAGGAGGTCTTTCGGATGAAAAAAGAAACGTTTTTACATTTTTTTTTTTTTGTTTGTTTGTTTTTTTTTGTTTTTTGAATGTCCAGAGGACCAGATTTGACTTTAGATTTTTCTACCTGGATTATTGAGCATGCATCAGGATATTTATAAATGCTTATTGTGCATACAATGTAGTAACTTAGTCTGACATGTTTAATATAACAACTTGGATGAAATGTATAGGTGAACAGATTTGGCTCATTATTTGGCAAGAAACTAATCAGTTTTGTCCGTCAACCTTATTAATGCGTAATGAGCAGTTATTATTGATAGTGTTTAGAGGAATTAATAATGAATCTATGAACTATTAGCCATCTATAAGGGGAGCTATATGTGGTACCTTTTTTCTAAGTTATATTTGAATATCCAAATATAACCGATTTTAAATTTATCAGCACAATCTTACTATGTTTGCATTTTGTGATTGTCTCCTAAAGCTTTAATAGAGCAGAGAGGAGGAGGTCCTTTGCTAGACATGCTGCCTGATGTGTTTGAGTGGCCCATCGCTGTGGACAACTGGGAGGCAGACTATGGTTTGACTTTATATTTTTTTATATACTTTCATACCTTTCCACTATCCCACAATGTCATTTATTACATTTCTTTCTTCTTCCCGCTCCTTATTTCCTCAGGGAAAACTTGGAGATTAGAAGATGTCATTGCCAGGTTAAATGAGAAATATGGAACTCAACTCTTGGTGAACTTTTTTGTTGGCACTGATGACAGGGACTCCACTTCATACATCATTCATGTGTGTATAGAATATGCTGCCAGAAAGTCATTTTTTTAATATATACAATTTATATTATGACTAAGTAAACGTTCATGTAACTTTCAACTTTTCTAATTGACCAGTTTGACCAGCAGACGAGCCTCGGCCTCTCGTCCAGAGATTACTACACCTGCGATGGTCCCTATGCAGAGGTTTGCCTCAGTTTCTTGTAAACTCATAATTGATAAAAGTAGCGCATTCATTTGAATCAGTGCCATGAAGTTTGGTTCAATTTTCTTTAAAACTGACAACAAATGGAGAAATTGTTTGAAACGGCATTGCAATAAAGTGCACACATGCTCTCGTTAGATCAATTACGCCAAAAACAAAACGAATGTAGCACTAACTTATAAGGAAAATCAAAGTAAACAAAATTTGGTTCTGTCCCAGTGTAGTCCAGATGGTGACTGGAGCTCCTTAACCACTAATTAATATGCAGAAAGCAGTATTTGCTGCAGCTAGGGTTTAACTCTGGCTGACTCAAACTGTTTCCATCCATAAATGTAAGAAGTTACTTCCTTGCTTGTATGAAAACCATTGGCATTTATTTATTTTTTTGAAACAGGCATGTCGAACTTATGAGCAGTTCATGATTGACCTGGCTAAGTTGATCCGCTCTGATCGAGGACTGGAAGTCAACGAAACTCTCATAAGAGAGGAAGCGACGCGAATTATGGACTTGGAGAGGGACATCGCCAATGTAAGCATACATTTATACTTAACAGAACACGGGTGAAATAAAAACCTTGACATTTTTATTAAAGGGTCATTAGGAAATTGTGCCATTCGGCAGCAAACACAGTACTTTACACGTGTAAAAGCAATTTCTTTTGATGCACTCAAATCTATGCTCGTTTCAAGTTTACTGCTGTTTTTCTGCCCATATTATGGTTTTAAGATTATTGCCACATTTTCACAGGTGCTGCCAGTAAAAAAAATAAAAATCAAATCTATGCAAATTATCTGAAAACTTGCTGCTTCTGGGCTATAGATGGGTAAAGTACTCATCATGCACATAACCTTCACATGGCAACTTTTTAGAAGTTGAACTGGCTACAGCTCGGCTGACTAATATTTTTATGTTGCTCTTAAGCCATAAAGCTGCAGGCTTAAATAATCTCTTCAACCCTCTGTGGCTCCTCACTCACTCCCCTTTGGGAAATTGGGAGAGACAGCTTTTCACAATACAGCCTTTAGATTTTTTTTACTTCTGGTACTTTTTAGATATTAACCCAGCACTTGATTTACCGGTAATTAATGTACAACTCATCACCCGTAGATGAGACTCCTCCTGTAAGCTGATACGTACCCATTTTATAATCCAGTTATTTGCTTAATTTTTCTGTAAACTGCATTTTTATACCATCTTCGCTCTGAATAAAATCAGTTTTGCAAGAGGAAAAATTTATCCCCCCCCCCCCCACACACAATTCTTGACTTTATGTATTTGTGTACATGTATGCATGTACTCGCACACATGAAATTGAAATTTGTCTTGCAAGGTGTTTTAAGAAACCAAATGCATGCCCATTCAGGTTCCTACCTATTGACCTAGAACTGTCTTAGGGAAAAATATTGTTTTTGAAACATGAATGTTTTTAGAAGCTGTGCAATGCATTTATATAATTTTTTTATTTTTTTTTTACAAACTACTTCGTATAGCTTTAAACGTTTAAAAGAAAGTGTCAATTTGGGTCTAACCTACAAATGGTACTGTTATGGTCATTGCTGTTAAAATGGTTAATGAAACAAAGCTGCCATTCCAACTTCTTTATTTTTTTTTTATTCTAAGCTGCTCATGTCACTGATATGCCTCAGTTCCCTTCCACTTGGCTGCTCTCACTTACATGGCAGCCAGAGCCATCAAGCTGACATTTAGACCTGAGGCCTCCTGCGCTGCTAAATGTTAGATTCACAGAAGGTATATGCGTGTCAGGAAAAAAATCCAGTCGTTTTGGTTTTCTTTAATTTTTTGTGGTTTTTGCTCTGCTTCAGGCCACTGATACACCAGAGGATCGAAACAACCCCATTTTGCTCTACAACAAGATGGAACTGGGAGAATTAAATGACAACTTCACCCTTGAAGTGGAATCAAAGGTAAAAAGTGTATTTATTTTAGGCTTGTCAAATAGTGCTGCTTTCCAATTGCTCACTCCCTCCTCCCCAAACTCAAAACTGTAGGTGTTCGACTGGATTTACTTCACAGCTAAGATAATGAACACGGTCAACCTCAACATTCCCAGCACAGAGAAAGTCATTAACTACTCCCCCAACTATTACAGAAGACTCAACCAAATCTTGGACAAATACACAAAAAGGTGGGATTTAATTTGTCTTTGCAGGGATTGTGTGCATCTTTGTAGTGTGGTGAACCATTGCTCTTGGATCATATATGCGTATATGTGAACAGAAATTGATTTTATTTATTTTGTCCCTTCACTCAGGGAGCTGCAAAACTACATGGTGTGGCGTTTTGCTATGAACATGGTGGTGGGCCTGAGCAGAGCTTACAGAGACACCAGGAAAGCTTTCCGCAAGGTAGTCCTTTAGTAATCAACTTTAACTGCATTAAAAATGGATGAAATGGGGAAATTTCTTCAGAGAATAGATATTGATATGAAATTGAAGTGAAGCAAAGAACAATATGCACATAGTCGGGTGATATTTTTGAAGAAGCCTTTTGTAGAGAAGTTGAGTGGTTACTCAGCGGAGGCATTTTGAACAAACTTGCTTTGTAGATGTTTTTACCAAACTGATGTAAGGGGCATCTCTGATGAATTAGACCAAAGAGGACTGCTATCATAAAACAAACCAAATCTCAGATTTCATGTGAATGCCATTTTCTAAAGCTTTACACCTGCATGTCATTTTAGCTTCTTTATGATCATTTCAGGAAAAAGTTTCTGCCAGATGTGGAGCAGGCTGCTCTGGAAAGGCTACAGCTAAATGCTGCTGCTTCGCACCTACATTATAAAACTAATCAGTTTTGGCATGGGTTTGTATTGAAAATGCAGCTGGAGTTGTTTGAAGAAAACGGAAATCCACTTGCATCTTGGTCCCACCCTGACTAGTCATTGGCTTGTGATGTGGATCAAAACAAACTCTCCAAACTGAACTTGATCAAATATCCACAACTTATTATTCTACAGAACCTTACTATAAAATTTTAACTTTTGCTTTCACACTTGAGCCAAAATTGTATAAAATACAGAAAACTAAAATCTGATTCATCCTTATTATTGCACTGACGAAAGTGTGTAAAAATAAAGAAATGAATGTTCTGCTGGGGTTAGCAATGCATCCAAACTGAACGTTAAGCCTTCAAAGTCTGTAAAAATTAGATTGTCAATGAGACCTATTTGGTTTTAGCTCAATATAATTACCTCTACTCTATGGAAATCAAGAAAAATACTTGCAGCAGTTGTAGGGTAGCTGGCCTCTCCCTTATGCATTGTAAAGCCCAGTTCTGCCTGGGCAGTTCTGGTTTCTTGTTTCCAGCAGAGTGCCGCCTCGATTTGGGTGGGATTGTCATGGCAAGAACATGCAAATCTTGGCAATAACTGTAGCTCACCATCTTTCTAGGGCACTGGTGCGTCTTTTGTCTCGCCTTTTTTTTTCCCTTCCCCAAACAAAATGGGAGCTCTCTCTCTCAGCCAGCCAGAAGTAGCTGAAGACACCGGTGATAAGGAGCAGTCGCTGGAAGTATGATTCGTAAGTGACATGATACCCTGCCAGTGAACTAATCATTGGCCAGTCTGCTGACTTTAATCTGTAGCACCAGCCCGAATGGAACTTCAGGTTTCTGAGTTCCAAAAATTGAGGTGGAACTGGGTCAGACTGCCCAATGCAAACACTCAAAAACAACCTCGGCACTTATTTTTATTTTAAATATTTCTCCATAAAGTCAGTAAATTTAGCCGATACTGGATGGAATACTAAACTTAGATGAATGCTAGTAACCCAATATGTTGGCATAAACACCGCAGGCTTGGATTTAATCTGTTAATGATGTTACCATTGTGTCAAAAATTTATAGTAAGTTTTCACTTCATGAATAAACTTAAATATGTTAAAAAGCAGATGGGTATGTTCCTGATGGTAACATACTGTATGTGCTTATGTTTATTTTTGACATTTGTCTGTGCTCCTCTTAAACTAAACAAATGGTGCAATTGAAATTACTCAGTTTTCCCTCATGTCTGCTTGTTCTCCACAAGGCTCTGTTTGGCGCGACGTCGGAGGTTGCCGTGTGGCGACAGTGTGCACTTTACGTCAACAACAACATGGACAATGCTGTAGGACGGCTATATGTGCAGGAGGCCTTCTCTGAAAAGAGTAAAGAACTGGTGAGTTGAAGGTGAAGTGGCCTTTTGATTGGATCAGAATACATTTGAAAGATAAAAATGAAGTGTTCATAGTAGCTTAAGTACAATGGGCATCCTCATGTGAAATGATTTTGCTTTCTTTTCATTGACATTTTGAATAGAATATAAATTGTGTGGATGTTTAATTTATTCACACATAGTATGAGAACATGCAGGCAACTCATCGGACCTTTGATCTCTGCTGTACCTTTGTAATCTGAGATGACACGTAGAGCCCATATCCAACTTCCATGTGTGTTTAAAACACACACAGCTGCTTTAACCATCAATCCATTACCTTCAACTTGCCTTATTTTTTCTTTTTTTTTTTTATTGAGCTGCAGGGATCATTGGTCCCCATGTCCATTTATCACTGTGGGAGAGGTGGGGACACACTGGACAGGTTGCCAGTCCATCACAGAGACACATGGAGACAAATGAGACGATTCACTCTCACTCACACCTAGGGACAATTTAGTTGCAATTTAGTTACCAATCAGACTAAAATGCATGTTTTTAGTCTGTGGGAGGAAACCGGAGTACCCGGAGAAAACCCACACATGAACGGAGAGAACATACAAACCCAGAAAGGTCTATGGCTTGTATTTGAACCGGCAACCTTCTCACGAAGAGGCAACAACTCTTTCAACTGAGCCACCGTACCGCTGCTGCTTTAACCATGAAAGTTTATCGACTCGTGTCCATTGCTTGTCTATGCCTTGTTTGACTTGACAACTAGCAAACTTTTATCCTAACAAGCATTTAAGTCGTGAAGACGTCGAACATCACTCGCAACAACTTTAAAAGTGCTAACAATGTTGTGGAAACTTTTTTTTGTTTTATTGAAATGCTTAAAGATATTGTAATTAAAAACAGATTTCATAAGCTTGGAGATAAAGATAAAATGTATCTTCCCTGCAAAAGATTTCTAAAGTTGCATTATTTTTTTTCCATGATGGGGAAATAATCAGGAATATATATTTTGCACAAGTAGAAACCTCAGTCGCCATCTGTAAACCTCTGGGCCATATCTTCACACAAATCTGTACATGTCCAAACCGTTCAGGCCTATCCACTGTAAAGGTACTTTAACTTTTGAATAAAGAATTCAGGCTTGCTGCCAGTGTGGGGAGTGTTACGTTATATTTATTTATTTTCCCGTTTTTAAGCTCTGGTTAAGGCTGGCTGATGTGAGAGTCCAGAAAAACCAGAAGAATTGAAGTAAAAGCTTTTACTAGACTCAACAAAAATGTTTACTTTTGTGAAGCTCAGAGATAGTTTCTGAAAATGAATTGTGTGGGGGGGCAGAGTTTATTTTTCTTAAAAGCCTCTGTGTGGTTACTCCAACTTTGTGCAAACCGCAACTTCTCTAAGATGTTGAGCAATGAGTAAGCAAGGAGTTTATTTGATGTGACAAGATGCAAAGATGCCTTTTTTACTGTGGTCTCGGAGCACAATTCTGTTTGACCCTCTATGCACGAATACATGGTTTTAATTCTAAATTCCCCAAAAGTGCAGAGTAACATTAAGAAGAGCTTCTACAATTAAGATGTTTTTTCATTCTGCCTTTAACACTTGGTTGGCATTTTTAATCTAAAAATGGACTAATTGATGGGTTTTGAAAAGTTACTAGCAAAGCACCTTACATTTATGAAACATTTTAATAATATTCAGTTTAAAAGATCTAAATGATTTTTATTTTTATACTCTCCCACCCATCTCTTTCAAACTGTTATCTGAAGTCAAGCACCCATAGTGGTTGAAAATTCACGTGACATGTTTTTTTTATAATCCTGGACCAAATTAGACTCTGGATTGGTGTAGACATCTGAGCTGATCCCACACTTTTGAATGGTGGGTGGATATTGGGGGACCTCGCTCCCTATAGAACCTTAACATGCCTCATGACAGTCCATAGACTCATTCAGTATGTGCATGGCCTTCTGTGGAACTCTAACATGAACTGATAAGTGGTGTCACATTCAACTACCAGTTACAGCACCACTCCGATGGCCGCATTTGTGTTAATGGCAGTCTACAGATGGGATAATAAACCATGTGTCTGTCTGACAACTGCTGAGAAATGATGTCATGGGGTACTGTGGAGTCTGTACCTGTCTGAAAATGACAGGTGTATATGTCCTGATGCATGCTCAATAATCCATGTAGAAAAATCCAAAAAAGTTAAATCTGGTCCTCTGGACATTCAAAAAAAAAAAAAAAAAAAACAAACAAAAAAAAAAAACAAACAACAACAACAACAACAACAACAAAAAAAAGCAAAACAACAAAAAAATGTAGAAAGGTTTAGCCTTTCATCCGAAAGACTTCCTCAGTCTGAGGTGCTGTATTCAACTCAGTCTTATAAATGGCACCTTCTCAGAGTGGATCAACCAGTTTGCTGCCGACACCCAAAACCAGCTGCTCACATGGTCAAGAAGGGCCACCAGCCTAACAATGGATCATTAGCGCACTTATGGCTGTTTACTATTCACAGGGGTTGAGTGATACTAGCAATAACAGCAGTGTAAGAGGGGGACAGTTGAACAAGGAGCCCCCAACCCCTGTTTAATGGACGATTTATTTTCACAAAGATGGCCTCCTTTATTCCTCGCTCAAACCATCGTTCCTCTCCATCAGGATGTGAACATCTTCATCCCTGAAAGAGTGACCGCTGGCCTGGAGAGGAGCGTAGACCGCAGAGTCCTGGCCTGATGGTGACTGATCACAGCCCTCCTGACACTGAACAACTTACACAATATTACTGTTTGTGTCGGGGGACTGGATCTTTGGGATGAACCAGTCTTTGCTGTAATGTATTTTGGGGTTTAAAAGCCACTGGGACGTTGTGTTTAGAAAATATACTCCTGTTTCTCTGATACTCCCTCAACATACGGAATGACCACTGGTCTGGGTCTGGGTTCCTCCCTTTCACCTGATGGCTGACTGGAGTCCTGTTTGGGTTTCTTCTCTGCTTTCAGGAAATCCCAGTTAGGATATCCACATTGCTCTAGAGCCTGCCTAGTGTTGATTTCTCCTTCTGCCTGGCTCCTGAGTTAGTGGGGATGCTGTCTGTGAAACAGAGTCCTGATGACTCCTAACTTGTGCTCCAAAGGGTGATGAGAGTCAAACTGCAAATACTGGTCTGTGTGGGTGGGTTTGCGATGCACCTCAGTTTGCAAATATCCTATCAGAGACTGAGAGCTCACAGTCCAAGAAAGCCAACCTGCCATTTTTTTTACATCTTCGCATGTGAACTTGATTTATTAATCCAGAGTTGATGTGGTCAGTAAAATGTTGGACTTCCTGAGATTTGATTTTAACCCAGGTGTCGTCAACATACCTGAACCAATGACTTGGTGGTGTCCCTGAAAAGGACGTCAAGGCTCTTTTTTTTACCTCCTCCATGTACAGGTTGGCAACAAAAGGAGAAACTAAAGACCCCATCGCACACCCATGTTTCTGCCTATAACATGGCTCCCCATATGTGAAGTAGGTTGACTGCAGGCACAGTTTCAAGAGATGACACAGTTGTTCTGTGGAAAGCGTGGTCCTGCTGCTCAGAGTGGTGTCTGATTTTTCGGTCAGTTTAAGATTAAGATTAAAATCAGACACCACTCTGAGTAGCAGGACCACGGTGTCAGCAGCAAACTGGTTGATCCACTCTGAGAAGGTGCTATTTATAAGACTGAGTTTAATACAGCACCTCAGACTGAGGAAGTCTTTCGGATGAAAGGCGAAACGTTTCTACATTCTTTTTTTTTTTTTTTTTTTTTTGTTTGTTATTGTTTTTTGAATGTCCAGAGGACCAGATTTAACTTTTTTGGACAGGCATATATGGCATTTGCATTTTGAAATGTTTGGTTGTCTGCATGATCCTTCATTAAGGTTTTGGCAACAGCAACTTCTACTGTGTGGGTGAGCTCACATTCATTTGGTCAGACATCTGTATGCCCCATAAAGGGGGCAATTGCATGGTAAAGCCACCTACCATTGTGCATACACTTTGTCCATGATGTCCCCTATCAAACTCTGTCGAGTGCTGTTAGATGTTTGTAAGTCATCCCCTTTCTGAAGTTGGTCAAAACTGGGTGACTGTCAGATATTTTGGCAAGTGCATGATACGAGTCCACTAACATTGCCACTGCGTGATGTTTGGCGACTCTTCTCCACATGCCAACTTCTACATCAATCCATGCATATCACTGTTCTGCTTACACCAAATGTCAAAATTGGACCACTGTCGTACACACGTGTACAACTTGTTTCTATGCCATTTCATTCATGTAAATCTTTCAAGGGAAATGCTTATGAAATGTGTTTGCATTTTTACAAGACTTTTATAGACTTTTAAGACTTTTCTAACACTTGGATCAGTAAAACCTTTTGCAACTCATGTTTTGAGTTTAGATGGAGGAAATGATTAAAGACATTCGGGAAGTGTTCCTTAGTAACATTAATGACCTAACCTGGATGGATGCAGAGACAAAGAGTGCAGCAAAAGAAAAGGTAGGACATTTAATTGCCTTGTTTTAACTGTACACCAGATTCTAAAATATTCTTTACTTTGGTACAGGCCCAAGCTATTCGAGAACGTATTGGCTATTCTGAAAACATCATGGATGATGAATACTTGAATAAAGAGTACAAAGATGTGAGTGTCTCGGGGGAATGCCGTTTTCAATCTTTCATTGAATTCATGTAATAGAAGACCTTCATGATGTATTGGTTTTAATGAAAACATTTCAGTGAATGTTTGACTTGAGCTTTGCTGTCAAATATATGACCAAGTGTTGATGGCTTTCATCACTGCTAATCCTTCCCTGATTTTCCCGCTGTGTGTTGGTGTTAGCTGATCTACAGCACAGAGGATTACTTTGAAAATATCCTACAGAACCTTGAGTATCTGCAGAAGAAGCGCCTGAGGAAACTGCGAGTCAAAGTCAACAAAGACGAGTAAACATTTTCCGTGTCTCTGTGTGAATGGAGGGGGGTAAAATTAACAGCTCTATTCCAGATGTGTTGCAATTCAGAGCTGCAGTGTTGAGTATTTAAAACGCATTTGAAATGACTTCATTTATGATGCTTGTGGTGTGACCCACTACAGTATCTACCTCATTTTTAGCACAGTGCGCTCACTTTCTCCCACACAAACGCCTACGCTCATGAAGTTCAGCTTTGCACAGCAGGGTTTCCAACACTGGCCAGAGTATTTATAGCTGCAGGTTATTTTCAATGGTTCTAATCAAATACGATTTGTACTATACCTCCATGCTCTTTATGGTATACCATCGTTTACTTCCATTTTTTTTTTTTTTTCTCTCTAGGTGGGTAACTGGAGCAGCTGTTGTGAATGCCTTCTACTCAGCCAGCAAAAACCAAATTGGTATTATACATGTGCATCAACAAATGCATTCAATAGTTAAAATATAAATAATTCAATGTAGCTTATTTATTTTTACTTTTTGTCCTCAGTGTTCCCAGCAGGTATTCTTCAGCCTCCTTTCTTCAGCAAAGGGCAGGCTAAATCTCTCAACTATGGTGGCATTGGCATGGTCATCGGTCACGAGATCACACATGGCTTTGATGACAATGGTGAGATTTATTTGTTCTCTTCTGGGCTGCTGTGGCAGATTTATGGTCTTGTTTTTAATATACATCTTTGTAAATTGTACTACTCAAATGGTTTCATATTTGCTCTTTGGCTCAGGAGGAAAAAACAAATTGAAACTTGGTCATTGAATGTATTATCTGCTTAATCTTAAATATTAACTCGTATGTGCACATTCATTTAGGAAAACACAACGTAACAAAAATGTCAACTGCATTGATAATGACATGGAATAAAGAATAAGTTGTCCTTTGACATTTTTTTTGAGGTCGTAACTATGATAAAGATGGTGATCTAAAGGACTGGTGGACGCCAGATTCTACCCACAGATTTCTGGAGCTGTCAAAGTGCATCGTTGATCAGTATGGCAACTACTCCTGGGATCTGGCCAAGGGACTACATGTATGTTGACTTTTTTTTGCTTCTTTACTGTTTTCCAGCAACACTTTTTTTGCAAATTTCCATGAACCCTGCTTTGCCTCATTTATTGGCTTTCCTGCCATCTTTGCATGCTTGCAATTCTTCAGCATTTTTGTCATGCAGCTTCTTCGGGAGACTTTCACATTTTCTGTTTACATAGAGTACATCCCCCTTATCTTGTTCTGCACTGTCCCTTTGAACAATGCTTTTGTTCTCTGAGAAAATGTCTGTATTCCAAAAGTGATGTCTACAATTTGCTGATTTATAGAGGGAGAAACTAAATCTTCTCACCTTGATTCTGTTTTTCCTCTAGTTAAATGGTAACAACACTTTAGGGGAAAACATAGCTGACAATGGAGGGATTCGACAGGCATATCAGGTAAGAAGCCTCGAAATAAAGACCTTTTATTTATTTTCTGATTTTTATACATGTGACTTATTACTCGCCAACATTGTTAAATGACCCCTTTAGTTTAATAATGAACACATTAAATCCGTCTATGGCCTGGCACATTGGTGAAAACCTTTTTTTTTCTCTGGAGTTTATTAACTGAATCTACAGTCTGAATACACAAAGGCAACATATACAGTCTTCAGATAAATTAGGCTTGGTATTTCCATCTATATATTGATGCTATAGTGAAGAGAACTTGAGCATTTTAGGTCATTTTATTTTGTTAGAACTTTGTAAATGTAATTAAGACTATATAAATATGAACAAAGGAGCTGTTCAAAATGTAAATGTTTGGAATTCAGCTTTTTTTTTTTTTTTTTTTTTAACCTGGTAATGGTTCACAACAGTCAAACATAAAATGCCAGCAACAAAGCTTGTGCCCCATCTAATGCAAATGAGCTGACAGCTGGCTGCTTCCAGAACAGCAATATTCTGAACAATAAAACATGTAATGAGATTTAATATCACAGTACATATTTGCATATCAGCAGTATCTGTGAAGGGATAGTTTGTCAACTAGAACTAAAGAGCAGAAGACTTGAAATTAAAAACAAATATGTATATTTTTATATTTTGAAGGCTTACAAGACGTACGTGAAGCACCACGGAGAAGAGCCCCCGCTGCCTGGCATCGATCTTTCCCATGATCAGCTCTTCTTTCTAAATTTTGCTCAGGTAATGTCTTCATTTTATGTATGTGGATGCAGGAAAATTATTTTTAAAGTTATATGTATAAAAATATGCATACAATAAATTTATTGTATGTATAAAAATATGCATACAATAAATTTAATGTATGTATAAAAAATATGCATACAATAAATTTAATGTATGTATAAAAATATGCATACAATAAATTTATTGTATGTATAAAAAATATGCATACAATAAATTTAATGTATGTATAAAAAATATGCATACAATAAATTTAATGTATGTATAAAAATATGCATACAATAAATTTATTGTATGTATAAAAATATGCATACAATAAATTTATTGTATGTATAAAAATATGCATACAATAAATTGTATGTATAAAAAATATGCATACAATAAATGTATTGTATGTATAAAAAATATGCATACAATAAATGTATTGTATGTATAAAAAATATGCATACAATAAATTGTGTGTGTAAAAATATGCATACAATAAATTGTGTGTGTAAAAATATGCATACAATACATTTATTTTTAAATTTTCTTTTAAATTAAGACTATGCCTGTCATAATAAATTTAGCTGGGCCATTAATTGTCTGAGAAATTATTGCAATAAACGATAATGTTTGAAATTTGACAATAATTAGTAATGTCAAATTTAAGAAGAAATGTTGGTTTTTGTGTGTAGTACCTGTTTTTGACCACTGGAAGCCAGTACTAAACTGTTTGAACCGAATGATGGATGGTTAAAGAGTGAGCAGTGTATCGCTTTAAGAAAAATGGGAGGGAGGCCTCTTGACGAGACATGGGCTGTCTCTTGTTCCTGTTTTTCATTTCTCAAAATGGCGGACACTGTGGTTTGAGGTCTTTAGCATAGCATTTTACAAACAAAGCTTTTAATAAAAAACATTGAACAAGTTCCCTATTTGCAGAGAAAAACAACTTTTTACACAACGGCACAGGTTTCAACTGTGAATTTTGGAGCTTGGATACTACAGGCATGTACTTGGACAAACCAAAACTGTGAAATTATAAGTTTATTTCCCAGAGGTCGGCCTGTTAGCTTAACTCATAGCTTAGCTTCTCAGCTTAGCTGCTTTTAACGATCCAAAAATGCCATTTTGGACGCTTAAAATGGATTTTAAAGAGAGAGGGAGGGGTCAGTGAAGAACACTGGAGTTGAGCCTTTTGTCATCCAGTGTCTTCAGTAGAAAAGGACACGAAACGATAAAGCCAATAAATGAAAATGAGGTTGATAATTTTCATTTATCATGCGATTCATTTATATTTTATTGCGACGGGCCTAATTAAGACAATATTTCAAGTTGCAAAAGTTCAGTGCGTGTGTTTAACTTGGAGCAACAAGCCAACTTCATTTTTAGTGTGGCTGCATCTAGGTGTACGGTTCCTGTCAAAAATAAGGTGGACACTTTGAAATCTAAGATGGCCACCACCCCATATATGTAAAGCGGCCACCCCAATCATTTGACGATGGGCTTTCTAATTTTTATATTGCCTAAAAGTATAGTTTTCCTCCCTCAAATTAAGGTCCCAAATTAATCTATGGTGGCCAAGACCACCATTGGCCACCCTCTGGCTCCGCCATTGCACCTGGTGGTGGATAAAATTGTTCGCTTCGCTCACCAGGATCAGTCACTTTGTACTGCCTCATGCTAGGGAGGCAAAACTATCTATTACAATAGAACTCCCACTAACTTGGATATGACATTTAAGGTTTACTTGCATTCCCTGTTGAAGTCTCTAGTCGTTCAGCATTGTGGGATATTGGCTTGCAGTTAAAGTAATTTACAAGGATGGTTTAGATCTCTTAAAAATGTCCTGTGAAAAAGTTATGAACAATCTAACCCATTAAAGATTTATTTTTCTTTTACAGATTAGCCGTTAACCATTTTGGTCAGAAATGGTGGATTGCTGCAGTATTTTAATAGTAATTGATGTGAATGTGAATCCTTTTGCATCAAAGCCAATTTCAGGTTTATTGATGTCGATGCATTTGTTTGAAATGCAAATGGCAGCAACAGCTAGCTGAATCACTTCCAATAAGAATATTACAATTTCTGTCTGGATAATGGTCTAATTTGTAAACGACAGCAAAATGAATATTTATTAAATGGCTTTCTTATGAACCTCAATGAAATATGAGCATGAGTGAGATGGCAGCTGTCCACTGTTCTCTTGAGTTTTAGTCAGACTACCCTTTAATTTTATCAGAATTGTTGGTGTGTATAAAAAAATCCCTTTTTAATAAAGGCACTGAGTTTTTTTACCAACTTAAAAATAAACTAAATTAAATGTGATATGCCTTCGTTCTAAAACGTGGATATTTTTATACCTTTCCGGTCTGCTCTTGAAATGTAAAAGCAACTTTAGAACACGAAATGCACAAAGCTTCTGTCTTCTGCTGTGACTGACTGAGTAGATAAATTGGTTATGTGAACACTTGTGAATTGGATGAAAGACTACCTGCCTGATTGGATTATTTCACGGATTCATGACTGCATGGTTTAGTGAATTTAAGTAGTTGGACGGATAATTGAGAATTGTAGGCTGCAGCAAGGTACTGGCTTAAAGTACATGTCATCTGTCTTTCAGGTGTGGTGTGGAACATATCGACCAGAGCAAGCCGTCAACTCTATTAAAGTAGATGTCCACAGTCCGGGGCAATTCAGGTAAAGTGTCTGTATTTCCTCTACATTTGTTTGTGATGTCAACGTTCTGGGGTGGTACTTGGGCAAACTAAAACTGTGAAATTATAATTTTTGCTCAAAAGTAGCATGTTTCATGTCTTCTCAAATTTCTATTATTCTCCACAGAGTGTTGGGCTCCCTTCAAAATTTTCCAGAATTTTCCAAAGCTTTCAACTGTAACAAAACCAGCCACATGGTCCCTGATAAAGTTTGTCGTGTGTGGTGAATGAAGAGCTCTGGGACAGGTTGTCTCTGTCCCCTCACCATTTTGTACCTCTCCCCTCTGACTGCTGGAGCACTAATAGTGGGGTACAGGAAGGTGGAAGCTTTCCTTAGTTCTTTACTTGGACCACGGCTGAAAAATGGAACTTGACACTGCAGAATGCGCTTCATCATGCAGCAGCAGACTGTACTCTCAACGGCAGAAGGAGCACTGCCTTGCATTTTCTGATACTGTACTTCATTAAATCGGCATGTTTTTCCTTCAGCTCATTGGATACGATCACTCCATCTTTGTTTTTTCTATTTTTCCTCATCTTATCTTTTGTCAGCCAATGTTTATTTGGGACAGCATATGTGTGTTTCAATCAAAATGCTTTACAATTTGTAGGCAATGGTTACAGAAATGTGCTCAGCCCACTCACACATTAACACGCCACCTACCCACTCTCTCGCATTCAACAAGGCCGAACCATTGTATTGTATGTGGGACTCGGCTGTGGCACTCATGAAACCTAAACCGTTTTCAGCTTCTGTTAGCCCACAAGGAGTAACGAAAATTATTTAAAATATATTTTGATTATAAATGAGGGTAAATTGAATAATTTTTAGCTGCTCTTCTTCAGGGGTCGCCACAACAAGTGAACTCTTGAAAGATTTGGCCATTGTTTTATGCTGGGCACCTTTCCTGAAAGAAGCAACCTGGGCGTGAACCTGCAACCTCAGGATTATGAGAACTTGGCACTGACCACCGAGCTACCACAGCCTATAAATTGGGTAAATTATTAAATCAAAATTTATTTTAGACTCAAAGTATTTAACAAAGTATTATTCTACATGAGAGGTTAGTGCTTATTCCTTCTGCTGTCCTTGAGGAAAAAAAGGACCCGAGAGGCTTCTGTTTAAAAACTGAGACCTCGGGTCATTTTGACACGAGGGCAGCAGGAGGGTTGATTACAGTTAGCAGAATGGAGATTAACCAAAACAAAAGATCTTGCCTTTAAGACAATCGACATGTTCCAGACACTTTTCTGTCCCCTGAGCCTCCTATGTTTCTGTGGATGTCTGTCATCTTTTGTAAGTCATTAACGATCACTGCCTGCTGTTGACCAAGCGAATTGGTATGCCTTACAATTTTATCATGTGTGTCTTTGTGGGAGAATATATTAAAGTTTAACTTTTTACCATGTTTGGGGTTTTTTTTGGCTTCTTGGGAATCATGAGGAAAGTTTACACTTCTGTTTGCGTGCTTGTCATATGTCTGTTGGCTTAACATAAACAGAAATTACTTCTTTTTTTGTTTTTTTTTTTCAAGAAAATGTGCCTATTGAGAATTGTCAGTCGGCACCTCTTAAATTTCATCTGTGTGGTTCAAAAGTGCTTAAACAAGGTTTGACATTGCAGTACTGTCACTAGTGGTGACCTTAAGGGTTCGGGTTTTTTTTCTTCGTTTTTGGAAAGGTGATTGATGGCTCTTTGAGGTTTGCAGAAATGGTATTGCACAAGATTTTCTTGACCCCTTTCAAACTAGTTGGCTCTTCAGTGTATTGCTGCCATTGCAGTTCAGACCTTAATTTCTTAGAGTATTGCACATATTTCAACCTTTTCACATCAATTACTATCAATTTCAGCTTACTATTATTAACTTGGACTTTCATAGTTATTAGATGAAAATGGTGGCAGCAGTTAGCTGTAGCACTTTAGTTACAATAACAATGCGGCATAAAATCGATTTGAAGTGTCCAGATTTCGAAAAGGGCATATCTATAGTTGGTTCATGTGTCTGGAGTTGCAGGATGGTCTACTTTGGTTTTGGTCAATATAGGACTAACTATTAAATTCTGAGATTTTTAAAAATTCTCCAAACTGAAGTAAATTTTGATGACTCTTCCCATATCCGTTAGTTTGGTGGGAAAATTATGACCATTTAATATGTTAGGAATATAAGAACTATCCCTTTACCATCACTCCCTGGAGCAATGACTTCATACTGTAATAGTTGCCTAGCAACCTTTGTGTTGCAAAAGATGACTTGCTGTCTTTGCAGTTCTCGTTATGTTTTTATTAGCAAAACCTACAATATTGATTGACCTTTCATTCCTAAATTTTTTATTATCCTCCTTGATGTGTGTTGGTGTGGAACTGGTGTGGTGATATTCGCAGTTCTTGGCAAAGATCGAAAAGTAAATGTTAAACCCAAAAACTAGTTTAAAAAAAAAAAGTATATATAATCAGTTTGGAGAGTAGTCTTAAAATTCAATTGAAAATAGTTGTACTGAAATTTTAAAAATTAACGTTACTTCAGCTGTAATTAGAGAAAATTTTGGACAAATGTTTCATCACAATTGTGTATTTCAATTGGTGTGTGTGTGGGGGGGTGTTTTAAATGTCGTCTGTGATAATGGGTTCATAAATGTGAACAATCCCCCCCCCTTTTTTTTTTTTTTGAAAGATACAAATTTAATACAAACATTAAGTCATCATCTCCTTAACCGTCTTCATGTTTAATAATTTTGTTCCCAACAGTTTTGGCTTTTCTTTGATTTGTCAAAGCCATTAGTTTCATTGCCTTTCTTTTTGTTGTCCTTTTTTTTGCTCCACTTGTAGGAAAAACAGATATACCTCAGTTGCCTGTATTTAGATACTTTATACGGACTAATCTTTTAAAAGCCTTTTCCCTCTTCAAAATAAATCTTTAGATAACACACCTAGTCTGCAAGTGACTTGTTTGTTGTGTGAGCGCATCCATTTTCTGAGTCCTACTTGTTGCTGAAATGAGAATTTATTTGAATGCAAGATGGTCTAAACATGTCCTCAACAGGAGGAAATTGGCAAGTTGTTGCACTAAAAGTTGTGACAATGTTCCTCCCAAAGGTGCAACTGTTAAATAAATAATGCATGTGCTCATTCATAGCAGCATGCATTAAATTTATTTATTGGTCAAGAATAAGGCTTGGTTATTGACTGTAACTAAACAAATCAATGGCAATGATGATCAAAAGTCCCCCAACAAGTTCAAAAACAAACAAAAAAAAACCCACTGAAGTCTGGCATTTACCGATAAATGCAACCAGACTTTAAAGCCAAGCCTAAGAAATGGTATGTCCTGCATGCACGGGGCCAACGTGCGCTTGTGTAAACGAGTAAAAGAGCTGGGAATTTCTTGACTTTGCATCTATCCACCTGTCCATCATCTTTACCTGCTTCTTCCTTTTAGGGTCACTGGTGCCCATATCCAACAACTACTATGCGAGAGGCGGGGGACACCCTGGACTGGTCGCAAGTCCATTAAAAGGACGCATAAACGAGACAACCATTCACTCACACCTAGAGACAATTTAGAGTTGCCAGTCAGCCTAACAAGCATGTTTTTGGTCTGTGGGAGGAAACTAGTACCTGGAGAAAACCAGCCAAGTTGAGTCAGATCATCTGGATGGTTTCTGTGTTGAAATATTTCGTCTTTCATCCAAAAGACTTCATCAGTCCAAGGAGGCACAACGATCTCTGTCCTATACAAAGCACATTCACATAGTGGGCCAACTAGTTTGGTGATGAGATGGATTCTGGAGTACACCCTCTCTCCTGTCGATTCCTCTGAGACAGCCAGTGGTTCAAAACCTCAAATATCAAAGTGGAAAGTTAATCAAAGTGAGTTCTACTTATGGTACTGAGTTTGCTATGGATCCTCGGACTGAAGTTTGTTTTTTGGTTGAAAGACGAAACGTTTGAACACAAAGAAACCGTCCAGAGGACTTAACTTTGTTGGATTTTTTTTTTTTTTCACCTGGATTATTGAGCATGAACTTTGACGCTTGGAGAAAACCCATGCATGCATGGAGTGAACATGTCAACTCCACCCAGAATGGCTCCCTGTCGGGATTCTATCCAGCAACCTTTTGACTGAGCAGGGGTAGCTCAACCAACTGCACCACTGTGCCACTGTTGACTTTGCAATTTTTATTTTTTTTTTAGCTGAAACAATCCAGCCACATTAATAAAAATTTCAGCACTTGTAGTGGTTTGGACAAAAAAAAAGGCAGTCTCTAAAAAGTAACCCTAAATTGTCGTGTGTGTATATAAGATGACCGCCAGCAGCATTTTTGGAGTCTGAATTCCACTAAATGTCACCTACGTGGCAGTCAAGTCAGTCCGCTCAGGCTACTTTTCTTTAAACGTTTCATGTTTTAATCTTCTATACTTCATGTTTTTGCAACAGCTTAAAAAGAAGAGTATGCATCTCCACATCAGTGTTTTTTAGCAGAATATCAGCAGCCGGTGCTTACTGTCAAGCTTCCCCTTTTTGCTCCTGTTTGCACTTTGGCAGACAACTGAGAATTCACACCACCCACTTTCCTCGTGCTCTCACCCTCCCGGTCATTAGCAGCTATGCTAGTTACGCTCGCAGCTAGCATTACAACACCTCAGCATGTTCCTGGGAGGCTCAGCTGAATGTTTTCCACTTTGAACATTATAGACTGCTGATGTCACCCCAAAGAAACAGAGCCATGAGGAAATCTCAACTTGGGGGGGCAAAGGGAACCTGATATACAATTTATTGCCCTGTGAAGAAAACATAATGGCCACCTCTGCCCTTTTAAACCTTAAACTTCATAACAATGTTATAAGTCACTCATGACTGACCCTTTATTGTTTTTCTTCTAAATTCTGACTTCCCTCTGTTGCCCGGTTCTCCAAACACCCAAATGATTCCATTTGGGTGTTTGCCCTTTGGGTGACCCTAGCAGTGGGTCCGATGGTATGTGCATTTGTTTGTGTATGCAAGTGTGGCGGTACTTAGGGGGTCGACATGCCGCCGCTGGAATGCCTGCGTGTGTGGCAATGTTTAGAGTGGTTTGTGGAGTCTGACGCCTTTAGAAAAGGAGCATAAACACACGTAAAAGAACACATGCTGAGTCCCACATGGGCATATGCACAAAAGCACATGCAAATTATGCTGGGATCATGAGTCAGAATGTGTTTCAGACTGGGGGGGGAACAGGTGGGCATTAAGATATGTAGCACACTCGAGCTGAAAGGCGCTCTTATTATGAAGTGCTATCATACTGTGCTCACACTGATTATCAACCATTATTTTTAAAGAGGTTCATAAAGCGTTTTGGAACAATTCTTGATTTTTAAACTGCGTTAAATCTTCTTTTGAAGGAAATGTGTAAAAGAAAAGTCTGACTTTGCCACAAAACAATATTTGGTCTTCAGTTAATGGTAAAAATTGGCTACGGACAATCGCATAAAGACTTTGAAAATATA